TGAAAGCAAAAGTGTACAGTGTGACCTGGAGCTGCCGGATCACTGTGTTCTTTCACATTCTGAGGGTTTACCTTGATGAAAACACCTAAAGCGCTGGGAAAAAGAAAAAAGAAAAAGAAGAAAGGTTTCATCTTCATTGTTGCTTCTTTCCACACGTCTAACTGGCTAACCTTCGTAAACACATCTAAACATTTGGGTAACTGTTGTTAATCAATGAAGTAACTTGAGAGGATTTAACCCTTTGAACAACTATGTGTCTGAAAATGGGTGGTTTTCTAGGATCTCTACACGTTTCCTGGACGGTTGATATCTGCTAAAACTTAACTTTGAAGACACTACTTTGTTAAAGATCCATGAGCTCAGGGGAACTGCCTGATCAGAGAGACATGCAGCTGTTCGACCAGCCAGAGAAATCCATAATTTTATAAATGTAACAGGGTGCGTCTTGTCGTGGCGGCCCGCCATGACAGAGCCTCCGCAATTCATCGTTGCTGTGGAAACACTGGATGTTACGTCAAAGTATTATTTACATTATACTTGACTACGGTCAACCCAGAGTTCGTTTTTATTGAGGTGGTGGTGGAGTACAAAAAAGAATCACTGCGTTTAATACTCACATCTAACCTGAGGAAGGAAGTCTTATGAAAGAACTTAATCATTTTGATTCCACTTTGAAAAATGTCTACTTGAATTCTTGCTTCAGCCCAGTATTTCTTAATTTAGTTTAACCTATAATGTGACTTATTTTTTCATTCTTTTAGTTTGAAATACTGAATTCTTACACCTATTCATGAGCTGCTCATTTAACACTACATACGGCTGAATACTATGACAAGCAATTACAGGAAGTACTGCTCAATGTTGATGAGTTAAATGCCAAAAAGGATGGCAACCAAGGGTCTGCCTGACCTCAGCAAAACATGTTGACTTTGTAAAGCAGCTTTGTTGGTTACCCAACAGCAAAATCATCTGAGACGTCGTACCATAAATGAGCCAAACGTCTTGGTATATTTATGTGTAAAACTGTGTGTTTGTGTGAGGTGGGGGTGGATTCAAATGAGAGAGAATGTGACGGCCACAAAACAGACAGACTGCCTCCCTGCCTCACATTGCCTGCAGCACACATTTACAGAATAACTGGCGATATTCAAGCTCTTTAAACATTCACAGACTTGTCACTGATGTTAAATTGCCTCTTCCAAGCAAGCAAACAGTGGGGGAGCATATAGATAATAACAAGACAAACACAAACTATTCATCTATTTAAAGCTAGCACTTGTTAAAATGAAGTGCTGCTGTTGAGAAAAGAAGTGGCTGCCACATACATCTTGAGGAGGCAAGTGGGGAAAAAATAAAACACGATTCCACTTATCTTCTGCTTCATGTCATTTGATGTTTTCTGATAAGGATGCACCGTTTACATTTTTGTTGTGGTTCTTGTGTGACATGCTTCTGTTGAGTAGCACGGCATGTTAAAGAGACTGAAAGGAAAAAGTCAAATAGAGCACCCTTGATGACAGTAAGCAGAACACTTTAATTATATATTTATGTTTAATTATTAGAAAATGTCAAAGGTACAACAACCGTTCGGTAATTAAAAAGCAGAGTGAGGACAATTTTCCCTCAATCACGCCCCATTAGCACGCCAAATTGATTAAGGTCACCTGTCCCACTTTCCTACAGAATGTGCTATTGACATGAGCGATTATTCAGGAACACTGTTTCAAGTTATGCTGTAATGGTAGCGACGAAATAGGGCCCTGTATCACAAATTATTCCATTTCCACACGAGCTGAGTAGAGTTCAAATTCAGAAGATTTAATTATTCTAAAAAAAAAAAAAAAGAAAACATCGGCGTTCAAAGCACAAGGCAGCTGAGTGACTTCTACATTCTACAGAGTGGATGCTGAATCTCTATTACAGGGTGTCAAGTGTTTTGGTTTCACTTTAATAGGCTCTTAACATATTGTCACAAAGAATAAAAATGCCTTCTGTAACTCTAATAATCACTTGTCCTTACTGTTTCTGATTACGACATGAATCACATTTCCGAGGGGTATCCATTTGCGATGCTCTGTTGTTCACATGCTTTCAAAACTTGGCTGCTGTAAGTGTCTCAATCTGTCATATTCAAAGAAATGACACTGTGATAAAGTAAGATGGTAAGATTGTAATATTCATAGCACACAAAGAAGCATATTAACGATAAATACAAATAGAGTCTTAAATTGGTCAAAGCAATGCACTTTGGAGTGCGTGGATAGTAATCAAATGCGGCTCTTCACAACAGTTCTCATGCTTATACTAGGGTTTGTCATGGAATTAGTATTTTTTTAAATTCAGGCTGATTGATGTGTAAAAAAAGAAAACAGTCCTTTTTTTTAAACCTGGAATAAGTAGCATTTCTGAAATCATCTATCTGTGAAAGTCCCCCCGATGCACACATACGCCGCAGTACGTCAGCGCCACACATGACGTACTGCGGACGCCTCGGTCCGTCTCCCGAGCATCCCATCGGCGCCACTACGCTCTGTTGTGTTTCAAATACGCTGCGAGTCTATTTTTCGACGGAGTAGGCTGCAGGTCCAAGTCAAGCCAGACAGAATATTACAACCTGGAAAGGAAGTCAGACAAGGAAATGCACAGAGCATCTGATCAATTTCAAAATTAAACACATTATACGGATTAGCGATTGTATTATTAATCACTTTATCAACAGTACGTCAAAGCAGGCACCGAACGAATAACAAATCATCCTCAGAAAGACAAAGCAACGTGTTGATCGCCGCACACGTAATTTAACAGCTGCATTGTGTTTTCTGGACGCCAGTTTGTTGTTCTCAGCTCTGTTGTTGATATTGCGATTCCGCAGAAACACACGTAGCATTGATGTAAAGGCAAATATTCTCATTATAGCGTCATATACTCTGTTGCTCCGTCCAGTACTGCTGCTGCTATTTTCAGGACTGTATATGTATAGACAGCTTACCATTCAGACATAAAGTTGGGGTCCCTTTACTGTATGTTAATGTTTCTTCTAGCTTCTTTCAGACATAACAACACATTTATAGAAATATCTTTAATTCTACTGAGGGACCGCTGTGAGTTTAAAATGTGATGAAGATGTGTTTACATTTCTGTGTCGCCAGCTTCATCATTAATGGAGTTTTAAACTCATTTTGCTGTTGAAGCGTTGATTAATGACCAATGTTGTGAGTGCAAGGGGGCATCCCCCCCGCTCCTCACAGTGATTACACTGATATACTTTGATAACAATAATGAAAATGAATAATTGTCATTAACAAGTTATTAGAGAGTGAATTTTTTTGCGGCCTGTTTAATCAAATCTGACAGATCACAAACACTGGAAGACGAAAGATTGAGTTGGGACTCTTGTTTGATTCTTAGCTCTATATAGCTCCATGTTAGCAGTTCTGCTTGATAGAAAGACTTAACATCATTCATTGATTCACGTCTTACTTTTTAAGTATGAACTTGAAACTGTATCTGTGTCAGCTGTCACAATCTTTTCTCAGCCTGTTTGGCAGAGCTTTGGCTAATGAAAGGATTAAGCTGTTAATTGAAACCTTGTTGGCAGTTCACACATTTTCGAGGCTTTAGAACAACCCCAGCTATGACTAATATACACCCGTCATAACTAATTACATTAATGCTGTAGAATGATTAGGCCTGTCTTCCACTCTATCATACTGAGCTAGGGCAGGGCGATATATGCTAAAAATAAGATCTACTTTATTTTCAAACAAAACTTGATTTACGATTATTTTAGAAAAACTAAATTACAAAGAAACGACGAACAATAAGTTTATCTTTTATTTAATCAATGAAATGAAACAAAAGTAAACAGAATTTCCCTTCGAGGATTAATACAGTGGCATTCATTTCTCTTTAGGGGCTAAAGGAAGAACGTGCGACTTTTTGATCCAGTAGATGTCGCCCTTGAGCACCGGCACTAAACCAAAACAAACTGCTGTTTGGTGACACCTCCGCTATTCTGAAGCCTCCGCTCTTATAAATTAGAACGCACCAAAATCAAGCACCATTAAGCGCAAGCGGTGGACAAAATTGTCCTTTGCTCAGGGTGCAATTGCCTGTGGCCTGCATTGTTGTGTTAGCAGCTGATGTTAGCACCCTTTGGTTAACTCATAGCCTCACATTGCACATAAACTGACACAGAATGACCGTGATCTAAGGACACTTATCCAAATAAGCATTGAGTATGTTATTCTTCTTTTCTCTAGTCCTTGACTAAAACGGATTTATATACAAGGCCGTCCCATACATGTAACTACAATATAAACACGGCCTGACTACAGCTGACTGGGAGGTATCATGTGACTTTATGGGAATAAACATGAAGACATACAAACAAATGAGAAGATCCTTATTTTAACTTAAGATGGTTTCATATTAAAGACAAACTTTGCTTTTGACTATTTTTATTTAGCTTTTGTTCTTGAAATTATGCAACACAGTGTTCAAAGACAAGAATTGGATATGCAACACTAAAGATGATCATTGTGTGATCAAGGATTCACACAGCATAATAGACAAGGCTGCACAAGGCAATTTGTGGATTTTTTTTGAGTGAAGATTGTTTGATTGATGTCTTGAAGAAGTAGTGTATAATTAGTGGTTAAAATGCTGAATTCAATGTCAATCTCCAAATAAATTAAACATGGTGGAAAAACGAGAGGTTCACAATTGAGCAATCAAGCCTCTTGAAAGGCTATCATTTGCTTGATTTACACATCCAGCAATCATTGTTCGACATTCTGGATTGATTGTGAAGCAGGCGTTTTTGTTCTGAATATGATGTTATTCATATCAAAAGTTCAATTTTTTGACTGTTGAGAACAAAATTACTCAGCCGGTGAAACAAAACACGGGACATGTAAAAGGTAAAATAACCTCATATTTCTTAGTACTAGTTCACCATGTCAAGTGTTGTAACTTTTGTTTTGTTAATTGTCTTTCAGATCACGAGCGGATCGGGAAAGATTCCTCCTACGAACAAGAGGGGAAGGTTCAGTTCGTGATCGATGCAGTTTATGCCATGGCTCATGCTCTGCATAACATGCACAGAGATCTCTGTCCTGGAAAGGTTGGTCTCTGCTCCAAGATGGAATCCATCAACGGCACACTGCTGCTCAAGTATATCCGAAATGTCAACTTCTCGGGTATGTGCTTATTTCACTAATGTAGGCTCACAACTGCAAGTAGTTACTGTACATATGGTGCAATTTGTTTAAACAAACCAATTTTTCCACTTGTTAGTATTGAACAATGACGACCAAGTTCTGGGAAATATCAATGAGTGCGAAACATACAGTATCAGGTATCATAAGAAGCAAAGCAATCCTCATATAGCTGTATGGGAAGCTACTTATTTACTACTTCTGGGCTCACGCACACACTGTGTGAATACCAAGTGGTCTCCAATTATCAGGCAACGGAACGTAAATTACTCACAGCAAGTATAGGAGGCTGACATTTGTAGGAGTGTTGACAATCAGCAGCAAAACAGCATGTTTTTTCATAGATGATACGCAGGAGCTGTGCTTTGTCAGATTTCCTGCCTTAAGGAGCCCATATTATGCCCTTTTTGGGGTTCGTATATTTAATCTATGTACCTACTTTTGTACGCTCACAATAGCTAAAGTTCGAAAAAAGTGTCTGTTTTCATGTACTGCTCCTCCTTGCTCCCTCTACGCTCTGAGTCCGTCAGCTACACTCTGCTGAGCCCACACTGTTAGACCCCACGTGGGCCAAGTCTGCTCTGATTGGTCTGCCGATCCGCTCTGTTGTGATTGGTCAGTTGCTCAGCACGCGTCTCGGAAATTTCAACCTGAGCTACAGGGCTTGTCACAACGAGCCAATGGGCTTAGATCAGTGATCTCACACTGACAATGACGCCGCACTGACAAATCTTTATCGAGGGGGGCTAGAACCGAGCGTTACATGTGGCTAATGCTACAGCTAACAGGAGGAGGTAGGAGAAGCCGCGTTTCCGCGGACTTTGAATTTTTGCACATAGATGTGCCTAAACATGCACAGGACACACTAAACACACTAAAGAGCATATAAAACCAGAAAAAGCATAATATGGGACCTTTAACTTTTCAGTGTTGAATTGCCCACACAAAAGATCTCCAGCTTGAAGTTCACTGGCTCGAGTTTAAAATGAACAACAACAAAATGTAAAATGTATTAGAAGCTGTCCACTCCGCTTGTTCTTCTACATGAATTAGGATTTTTTTTGTGTGTGTGGAAACTGGCACATACAAGTGTGCACTTTTCTCTTGAGACACAGAAAGACACACTCTAAAAAGGTCACTCCAAAAACATCAGCAGTACATCTTAATGTAATAAAGTCATAATTGGGACATCACTTCCTGTCTTTATGTGTTTTACTAGCTCCTGAAGCGTAAAGCACACATAATTTGTGTTACCTTTCTTTCAAACAAGTGAAACAAGTCTCCTTACCTTGTATAGTAAGACAGATTGGTATCCATTTGACAGACATATGATCAATATTATGATAAGCTTTACAGGTAACTTCGGTGCTCAGTTTGTCCATCAGGGGAATGCTGACAAGTTGAGTTTTAAATGGAAAAAACTGTGAAGGTAGACTTTTAGAGGGATTAAATATGGGAATTAAAAACTTTATGTATTTCAAACTCCCAAATATCAGTTTAAGCTTTATCCAGAACAAGGCTCAATGTATGCAAACAAATACAGTACATTTCCTAAAGCATTGAACAGAGCCAAAAGTATATGAAATATGAATGGCTTTTATTGTGTTGATATTACAATGGTAGACACTGGACAATACGCAGGCAAAATCTCTCACAAAAGGAATGCAGTAGTAATGACAACAACTTAAAAAAGGCAGCTTTTACTCTAAGTCAATAAACCTCAACAATATATTTTCCTTACATACATTGGTCTTTTTTTGGTAATTATTCTATGTATGCACTAATGTGATTTCTAAAAGCCACCAAGATTACTGTCTCCAACAAGCAAAGAGGCTTTCAGGAAGTGATAATGAGCAGAGACATGTACTGTCAACAATAGTAAACAGTAGTAATGGGTAGTGCACAGTATCATTTAAGGATGCAGTGTTACTATTGACAAAAGATATGTGATGTTTTACATATTCTGGAATGGATCCGTCCCTCTCATGTGAAGTGGTCCTCCTCATATGTCATCTTCATTAGAGGCAGAATGAAAATGATGCAGGGGTGTTTTAAGACTGTTCTAGCAAATGTGAGACTTTCCCACATTACATTTCATGGCTTAAACGGCACCTAATTTCGTACTGTTTTTCATCTATGGCCCTGAATAAGAGCAGCTGGAACATTCAAATACAGAAAAAGACTGGATAGACAGCTCTGACTCACCTCCTGTTTCTACATAGTGCCTGAATGATTTAACACATTATGACAAATCTACTCAGCTTATGAGCTTTTTTTTGTTTTGTTCATCCTGCACATAAATAGCTCTGTTTGCTTAATTGTTTTAGACGCCGACAGTGTTCTGCCCTCTGTTATTCATATTTAATGACTTCGCTTGGAAATTCTGTCGAAGGGGAAACACAAAAATATCCAGCTCGAGCTTCTACGAAATGTTACTTAGCAGGTGGGGGGTGTGTTTTGATTTTCAGTAGACATGCATTAATCTACAGCAAAAACATAAATACCTAAAAAAAAGTTAAATACACTTTGAAACTTTGATAACTCCTCATAGACCTTCATGTGTAGAGGAGATTCATACATAAGGGGATCATGAAAACAGAACTGATGTGCACTGATTTAACCTCCTGGCTTGTGAAGATATAATGAAAAAGTACGCAAAAAAAGGTCCAACTAAGGTCAGTAGGGGTGGTTATAACAACTCGAGGTAATTGTATGTCAGGTAAGTGGAGTGTCATGGTGTCCATGCAATCAAACAGATTGTGATGAGAGCAGTTTAACACAGTTTAACCTGCTCCACCCGCACAGTTGATTGCACAGCAGTGGACACATTCATTTTGATGATGGTTTCAGAATGTGCTCTTTGGGTGACGGGTAGTAACGCCCACAGAAAGTACATGACAAGAATAAGACACAATAAATGTGAAATACAAAGCAACTTCTGAGTAAGACTCTACTCCAGCAGTCTTTATAGTTGAAATTACAGCTTTTTGGGGGTTTTATTGACAACATAGCATCAATTTTACCTAGAGTCTCTCGCTGAAAATGAGAACTTTCTGGTAAATAAAGCAGTTAGTGACTCCAGAGAATGTCACCACACTGTCGACAGCAATTGTCATTTGCACAAAGGCCTCATGACAAGGACCTCTAGTGGCCATAGGAATTATGTTTCTGTTCTGAGAGGAAAAAAGTCTACATAAGCTTAACAATGTTATTAGACCTATAGAACGCTGGTTGAGGGATATGTCGACAAATGGTGCGACTTGGAGAGATGACACTACTGTTTATACCAATAGTCAATATTGTTTCTTAAAAACTGTGATCCTTTAACAAACAACTTGTCTAAGATAAGCTTGGCCATCACTACCTCAGAGGTTACAGTGCCCAAATAAACATTTAGATAACAAATATGTGTATAAATATGTAGTGGAAAACAAATACATGGGCATTGGAGGGAGGATGTGGTGCTTATTATCTTAGGCTGCCCACCATCAAGGTCCCCTTCTCTATTTCACATGACATTTTTTTGCAAGGACATTGATTATAGTAATTGTTCAATTAAGACACATTGGAGACATCAAATTTCAAAGGGCAATAAAAGTGGACTGATGCTGCAATAGGAAAAAGTTCTATTGGTTACAAAATTGAGGTAAAATTGGACAAAATGTTCAAACCTGTTGAAAGTAAAGGCATGATTTTGTGTTTACTTTCTTACAAGTGGGTTGGTTTATAGATTTATGTAAATGAGCTGAAGAGAAGAAATATGGGGGGAAAGCTACATGACTGGATGTTTATTTGTATAATGTAGTCAATGTAACCTTTATTTTTGGGAAAATAAAAGGTTAACCTGGTACTTTTGTTTGCAGCAGCTAGTTGTCATCCCTAATGTATATTGAAAGGAAACTGCAGCGCTGAGCAGTGACTTAATGTTTCCCCAAAACTTGGTTTACCTGTTCCTGTGAATGCTTATTATTATGTAAGCAGGTCAGTCCTCATCTGTGTAACACAGAAAGAGAAAAATAAATAGTTGGGAGTTGTATCCTGAAGTCACTTTTGTTAAATTGTAAGAATAGATCAATTCTCCCAGCACTGGATTGAAGCTTCAATCTGAAAAACTATGTTGCAGGCTTGTGTTAGAGAATTAAGCCTCAAGTCTTTGTGCATTCTTTTATTCATCGTGTTTTATTACTGAAAGGCTTGTCAGCACTGAGGCAATCGGGGTTACAACAGGAACGTCTTAAAAATCAATGCTGCACATTACCGGAAACCTGCCTTGCTTTTAAGAGTCTTTGGGCTCAGAGGAATGGAGAATTTAAAAGGTTTAGGAAAACACCGGAATGTCCACAAGATCCCAGTGTATTCTGGGAATTGTTTGTCTGCATCCATGCTGACTAAAGGAAAGAGGAAACCCAGGCAGCTACTATGGATGTTGTAGATGCAGTTGATACCTATTGATGCCCGCTATTAAGATGGTAATCCTAGTAATGCTGAATGAAACGTCTAGTGGTCTAATTCAGAATAAAAAAAACAGACTTGGTGTTAGCTGCTGCTATTTGTCCTTTGGACATGTTGTTTTGCAAAGTAAGCTTGCAACAAATAAACCTAATTGAAAGCTGTGTTTAAAGTGTTGTGATTAAAGGCTGGCTGTAACATCACGTTTTAACAGGGTCATTTAAGGGTTCCTGTTTTCATGAGGTTTTATTACAGATTGAATTTGACGTAACTTCAGAAGGCACTCAGTCACAGGGTTATACATTATGTATATGGTGGAGACATCACAAACTCCTTTAGACAGTGAGACATCACTAACAGTGATTAAGCCATGTCAAAGGATTCTGTGACTGTTTGTTTGCGCATAGATGGGCAGTGGTTCAGGATACAAGAATGAAGTTGTCTTTTTCTCTGGTCAGACTGAACTGTCACATTGGACTTCATAATAGGATTTCAAAATAAAAAGCATTTTTACATCTAGTAATGTCTCTTGCTTGTAGAGGGGAACCAGGACTATTGGGCAGAGGAGCACATTTAGGAAATGCTCCAGTTAGAGACATAACCGTTCTTGAGGTCAATGTCATAAAAAGGCTGAAAATGTTGAAAAGATAATCAACCCCAGCACTGGTCCTTAAGTATGCCCAATTGAATGGCTAATATCCATGTAAGGCTTGGCCTCCATTAGAAGAGAGATCCAGATTCAAAAGCAGAATCCAAAATCTCATTTTTGGAGTTTTTATGTAACAGTTGTATTCACATTAGATTTTTCATAGCTATGGCTAATGGAGTGGAGGTTTTTTACCGTGACATCCTGTATATGACTGTTTTGTTTGTTTGAATTAGTCATTCCTAAAGCTCTTAATGTGTGTGCTTTTTTAAATAATAAAACAGACAGAACATTTAATTTAAGAAAAAAACACGAGCAGGCTTGGAGTTTCAACTACAGGAGCAGACTCCCACTGCTGAAGACTTAAGACAAATTTGATTTTTAGGATCAGAAAAAACTTAGATCAAATTCACCCCCAAAGATTCAAATGCAATGGGTAATTATAAAAAAAATGTTAACATTTATGTGAGTCTTATTAGTGTGAATGTTTGTATGTTTTAATGTTACTGAGCCTCAACCAAAGGTAGTTTTCTGTCACTATGTGATAGACAATAAAGTTTTTTGAATCTTGAATATTTTCACTAGTTCCAATCTGATTTGAAATTGTATATTATTATCAAAGAGCCTGCACACTGCACAGATTTCCCTGCCACCTCCTCAGAGTACAGTAATGTACTGTAAATCTGGTAGTCGAAGCAAAACCAAACTCAGTGTTGTGAACCCCGCCGAGGACAATCAGAGTTAAATTAACAGATAATTGTGAACCCAGTTTAACACAATTAAAGTCAAATTAACAGAATATTTCACTGACCGTTTCATTTTCAATGCACTTGGTCAGACCTGCAGCTGATTGCAGAATGTTTTTTTTCCTGACTGCATGGCTTTCATTCTAAAGAAAATATCTTGTGCAGGGTTTCCTGAAAACTTTGACCAGGTTACTAAAGAGGAAGGTTGTGATTTTTTTCCTGGTGTGCATGAAACTTGCACATGCAAATTTAGTGGTTAAACTAATCGATAAAAGAAATCAAATTGCTAAAAACTTAATTGCCTGTATTGCTGAGCTGAACTGGAACGTTTTCATAATTGCAAGAATGCTGGCTGAGGTTTTAGATCTACCCCTTCCAAAATAAAGCAGATGCTATTAATGCATTGAAAAAGTCTGGGGTTTTGATCAGACCTTTGACAAGTACACAGAAGCAGAACGGGGAAAAGAGGTCTGTTTCAAAGCCAATAGGTTCAAACTACAATCAACAACAATCGATACTCTGAACTAATGAGGTAAGAAAAAACTTGTACAAAGTGTTCCTTTTATCGTTATCAAAGAGGTGAGTTTGGTCACTACTTGTAGAACATGAAAACCTCTTTCACAAATGGGAGCCTGGATATGATGCATATCCCTTTTCTGCTCTAAAAACTGTAGTCTTACCTATTTGATGTAGATCTAGATGCATCTGCATACAACAACCAAACACTTCCCGCAGGCAATATGAAAATACATTTCTAGCTGCCAGTTAAGTAAGGGCATTTTTTTTCTTTGCACTTTTGAACCCACAATTTAACATGTTACAGGATTGCTGAGTATTGAGGGATGCAGTGAAGCCGGGAGAGTAAATTTTGTTGGAGCAAACAGACAATGATGGGGATGCTATTAATGGAGCTTTCCTCAGAGACACTGTGGTGCGCTCTCGTCACTAAATCTGTGAATCCTGGTTCCTTCAGAAGACAATTTCATAACAAGTTGTGAAGCGGGAATGAGGTTTGCAGGCTTTCTCAGAAACAAGCAGAAACAAGAAGCCGAAGGGCGAGGGAGAGAGACCTCAAAGTGGTAATCGAAATCAGTGCTGTCATTCGTTAGCGCTCTGAGTGGGGACCTCATGGATAACAAGCAATGGGGCAATACGCATAATCAAGGCGTGTGAAGTGATATGGGAACATGAACAGACAGCGGGCCCTGGCCCTCCTCAAAGGACCAGGACAACATGACTGTCAACATCTATTTTGTTCCCATCATTAACACCATAACAGAATTGGCTAGAAATCCCCCTGCAGCCTCATTTCATCCCAGATCATTTTAAGAAGAAGAGCTGCTCTGTTTTTATCCAACTATGAAGTCCTGCCTTAAGGTTAAATTCATGTTTTCCCTTCTTCTTCTTCTTCTTCTTCTTCTTCTTCTTCTTCTTCAGGAATTGCTGTAACCCCAGTGGTCTTCAATGTGAATGGAGATGCTCCTGGCCGCTATGAAATCTACCAATACCAGATCACAAGCAACTCGACTGAATATAAGATCATTGGTCACTGGACGGATCAGCTCTACTTAGATGTATGGATGCTTTAAAGATTTCTCTATATATTTGCCTGACTTTTCTTACAATCAGTAAAGGAGTTTGTGCTGGCCGTAACTCTGGTTATTTACATCACACTTTGACAACCAGCAAAAAAGGATTAATGTAATGTAGCATATTTGGCTGTTCAACATTATGTAGCTATTGAAACCATTTAGTCCTGACAAGAAAACGCTTATACTACATGGAATTTGACAACAATCTAAAGCTCAACAAAGTTTTTATTTTATGCTTCCTAATCCTTTGAAAAGTATTTTAAAAAGCAAAGAAAAACTTTTAGAAGAAGAAATGTTGTGCCCCCGTTATTCATCCATTATTCAACTGAAGTGTAAATCTCAAAATATCAGATTTTCTTTTTGTTTATTTTGCAATCATTATATGTGACATTTAAAGACACTCTAATGTTGCCAGGGGAAACTGAACTTGATTTATTCACCTCCTAATAACTAATCACTGATATCACAGGTTTTGTGTAGCAGCTTGTTCATGTTGTGGTTTATAAGGCAACAGTCGACAGAACAATGTAAATAATAAATGAACTTCTTCGTGGTTGACTTCAGATTTTACAAACAATTGCGCTGACGGACACACAGGTCGATTCATAGTGTGTTGTAGGCCTACTGTACATCATTTTTCTGCTTACAATTCTGCTTGTGTAAACAGGTTTGCAGGAGTAAAGAGACAAGCATCTTTTTGCAGTAACCTTATTTTGCCTCTTACCATCATTACACAATACAGTCATGCACCAGTTTCCTCTCCATGCATATACATATGCATGGAGTGCAGAATCAGTAATGTTGCATATGTTTACATCAAAATGCTTTGTTTTAAATACCAAATATTGTGAGTAACAATGTGTATGCAAAAGATATTTGGTGCTATGCATCGTTTGTACAACATCCCCTGGGCTGTTGTGATGCACATACTGTAGATTGTTGGAGACATCAAGGTCCTGACTTACTGCTGCACACAGACCACCTCATCAGCATCGCCTGCATGGCAGAAACCTCCAAGGAAAATAAAAAATATCGTATGCAGATCATTTTATACACAAAACCAATCATCTAAACCATCCAGATGTTGATTTGAATAATGAATATAGCTGAAAATTCTCTATTCTATACCCTGATGCACCCTGTTTTATTTAATACAGCCTCTTAAAATCTTACATTGTAATAACAATAAACAACCTCAGTGTAACAGCACAGGCACATGATACTGCATTGCATTGTGTTGAGACTGCAGTACCTCACAGCTAGACTCCATGTACTTATCTCTCCTCCAGTAAGTTCAACATATATCTGAAAGTAATTAAACAGCAAAGTTGTTTCCTGTTTAGTTATAATTCCATGAGTTCACACAGTGATGTGTTGATAAAACAACTTTAGCTTTCATGTGGGGAATATCCTATTAACAGTTAGTTCATTCAATCATACACATCTGTGTGTCTAAACTAATCTGCCAAGTGGTAATTACATTTTGTCGTCAAGTATTATGTAGCACACTGTTTGATATGTAACTAGTGGAACAATAAGTAGTAAATTGTGGTAATGTTTCTGCTAGGCTGGCTTGCAGCATTATTTATTTATATTGTTTGGGATTCAGGGGTGGGAGTAAAATAAGTTTTTGTATGGTGTTGTGGAATAAATTGTTAAATTGCAACTGTTTCTTCACTGTTATACGTTTCCCCCCCCCCCAGACAAATGAGATGCAGTGGCCAGGTGGAACACAAGAAGTCCCATCCTCGATATGCAGTCAACCCTGTCGTCCTGGGCAGCGCAAGAAGACAGTAAAGGGAATTCCATGTTGTTGGCACTGTGAGAACTGCGATGGTTACCAGTATCAGGCAGACACTTACACCTGCAAGATGTGCCGCTTTGATTTGCGGCCCAATGGGAACCACACTGGCTGTGATCCCATTCCCATTGTCAAGCTGGAGTGGAGCTCTCCATGGGCAGTCATTCCTGTTCTAATCGCTGTGCTAGGAATCATGGCCACTCTGTTTGTGGTCGTCACCTTTGTACGCTACAACGACACACCTATTGTTAAGGCTTCGGGTCGAGAGCTGAGCTACGTGCTGCTGACTGGGATCTTTCTGTGCTATGCTACAACATTTCTGATGATCTCTGCCCCTGATGTGGTTATCTGCTCCCTGCGCAGGATTTTCCTGGGCCTGGGTATGAGTATAAGCTATGCAGCGCTGCTTACCAAGACAAATCGGATCTACAGGATTTTTGAGCAAGGAAAGATGTCTGTCAGTGCCCCTCGTTTCATCTCCCCAGCCTCACAGTTGGTCATAACCTTCAGCCTGATATCAGTGCAGCTCCTGGGGGTGTGCATCTGGTTTGGTGTCGACCCATCACAAGCCATCATCGACTATGAGGACCAGCGCACAGCCAATCCCAAAATGGCCCGTGGGGTTCTGAAATGTGACATTTCCGACCTGTCCCTCATCTGTCTGCTGGGTTATAGCATGCTGCTAATGGTTACCTGCACAGTCTACGCCATCAAGACCAGAGGGGTTCCTGAGACATTCAACGAGGCCAAGCCCATCGGCTTCACCATGTACACCACCTGCATCGTGTGGCTCGCCTTCATCCCCATCTTCTTTGGGACTTCACAATCAGCAGAAAAGGTAGGTTTTTCAAATGTGTTGGATTCATGCTCAACATTTCTATCCTGTTTTTTTTTATATAATAAGTCTGTACATAATTACCTATGCAGGCATGTATAGTTTGTACTAAAAAGCACAGCATGGCAGCGACCCCATTTCCATTACTCATACATGTTTGACGTAAGTCGTTTTATATTCCCAGTGTTCTTCATTGTGAGCAAAATTGCCCCTTAAATATTTTGTTGAGTAGCATCATGCTCTTGTGTTTATGCACCTACTATCCATCATGAGATGATGGGCTTTGTGCTCCACTGTGGAAATTACAAAGCTTTTAGAGTCGACTTGTGAGAATAATTCACTCACCTCAAGTTTGCTTGGATGTGTGTTCTATAATTGTGTTGTGTACCAAGTAGTCAATCACAGCACATTCAGCCACACAGAAAAAGATGACGCGTCTTTGTGGAGAAGTAGCATAAAATTACTGGCTGTTGATGTTTCTTGTCTGAAGAATGTGAAGCATAAATTAGCTCTTTCAAGAGAAAATGTTTAGGTAATTCAACATAGATGTACAACAAAGAAGCAGAGAAAGAGACTTACAAACTGCTAGCAGCTTCAGTATAGGTTATAGCTTTACTTTACTTTAAAAAGTATGTATTAAAATGCACAGTGATGGATAAGTGTGCATGAGTATTATAGTCAGAAGCAAAGTGAGAGTAGAAGCCACTGTCTCTAAAAAAATGTTTCTTTGACAAAGCTGTGCAGGGAACCAGAGGCACAATCTTGTTGCAAACGAGAATATTAAGAACAATTGCTAAAGTGTATGTTAGGGAGCAAATAATCTTCTAAATTACTAATTTTACATTATGATGACTAATTGCCCATTAACGCTTTTGATAAATACAACATAAAGTACAATTGGAGAATGATCTGGAGCCATTTGCACAGTTTTTCCTCTCAATATCAACCTGATAAGTTACAGAGGAATACAGTTACATTACAAAGATTCTCAAGAAGTTAAAGAGGCTTTACTCGTGTTTTAACCCTTTTCTTTGCTCTGTCTACCATGTTCGACAATGCAAAGAAAACTTTTCATTGAATAAAATGCAAATACTTTTAGATTAAGTTGCTGTTGCAAAGGATTGAACACTGATCCTGAGGGACTGTGGAGTGTTTCGAAAAGAACACCTGAGCTTCAGAGTGACATCCTGTCAACTTGTTAAGCATTGCATTGAATGACTTCATTTAGGGTTATAAGAGGGATGTAGACAGTTTTAACCATAGTGTGGCCAATAAATGAGTTACTCCTTGCATGTAAACACAGCCGGTGGTGAAAGGCAGCCAAATAAAATTTATCTCTGTTCTACACTCAAACCTCCTCCAGTGAAGATGAGATTGATAAGCAGAGAGAGGCAATCCTTCTCTTCTCACAGGGTTTCAATCAGATCCAATTTGGGCTTAGTGAGATCAAAGAATTGTAAAGTAAATACTAAACTAAACCATGAAATATGATATGACCCTCAACCATTTAAAGAATGCCAACAAATCTAACATAAACTAAAGTCTTTGTTTTTTAAATACATCATTTTACAAAAAACATGCCATATTTTAATGACCTACCATGATCTGTCACATATTGCGTTGTAACATTCCAATAAATACAAATTTAGCAGTATACAATAAACCAAATATACCAAATAAACTCAAATCTTCTGACATGACACAGATGTTACTAAAACAGTAATGATATCTTTCTAGAATTGAAATGTCCCAGTAAGCCTCGACAGTGTGACAGGCACTGAAACTGAAGCAGCTACTGACATCATTCATTTCTAAATCTACACCTCTGCTTTTACTTCTGTGACATAATAATTTCCTCGTCTTTCGTTCACATTCAGAAAATTCCAAGCCAATATATTTCGGGGCAAGGTTTTGGAGGAGCCAGGGAAACGTGTTAACATGCTTTGCGTGTAGGTGGGGATAGCTCTGGCAGCTGCTGTCTGGACGAGGGATTTGATGCTTAATGACTAAAAAGAGCCACGCGGCATCAGAGAAACCTCATAATGGCTAAGCCTGCCGTGGTTTCGCTCCCCAGCCGTGTTCCCTCACTGTGCCGATGGAGCAGATTGGCAATCATATCGGCGTGTCAGGGAGAATTTATGTCAGCAGGGCCAATGGAAGTGGACAAGGGTCTCGGCTCTCCTCACAGAGTGACTCCTCTCTGTACTCCAGAGGGGGAGCAATATTGTTCCGAACTCACCCCAGGCCACGTGTAATCTTCTCAGGAGATTACAACAGTCCCCCTCCATCACCGAGGAATGCTCATGTTCTGCTTGCACTGTGATGGAATACAATGCCCCCTCACTTCTATTTTGCACTGACATTTTTCCCCCCCGACTGACATAGCTTTAGGAGGGTAACTTACAGAGGCCTCTCTACAGTTACAACAAAGTATATTTCTCAGTCACTGTAGGACAGGTCGTGTAATCGATCTTATTTTGAATATCATTTTACCTGTAGTATGATTTTCCCAAATTTACATAGCCCCAAACATTATTTCATACATATATTGTAAATTGTTAATTCTTCTTATCGCACTTGGTGTTCACGATGCTGTAAAGGCTTGTAAAAACATCTACAAGCATCTTGACATGAGAAGATTGATGTTGTACAAGCTCACATACAAACAACATATGTCATGAGCCAATGTTGGGAAACATAATTCATGACTGTTGACATGCTAGTGGCTCAAGGCGCTGTGGGCTACTCCCTGTGACAAGCGACTCAGTCGTTTGTGATGTCTGCAAATGTAACGTCAGACAACACCTCCAGCAAATCATGAAGGATGTCTGCCAGCTGTGATCCAGCTGTAAGTCTTTGTTGTGTTCATAAAAGTTTAAGGGACCTCGGCAATTTTCATCCAGGAGTGCTGTGAGAAGGACCACTAATCAAAAGTTTTATGCACTTTTTCTATCCTTGAAAGTTCTACTTTTCTTCCTGTTTTATCATTGCATCCATGGATCTAATGTTAACATTTCATTCGCAAGTGTCACTATCACATATGATGTACCTATTTTATTCTTTACTGCCAATGCGCTGACTCGTTCTCTACATCACCAAATCAGAGATGGACTGTGCCCGAGTTCGGGGACGATTATCATAAATGAAAAATCACTTGCAGGCCTTTTTTTATATGCTGTAGGATGTTTCTCTCTGCTCCGCAGTGGTTGCCTCTAGCTATATATCTGCTACCCAGCTGTGAGAAACAGCTGTCACTGGCTTCAGAAAGCACACAATCCGTATGCTGTTGTCTAAAACCTCGGGGTAAAAAACCTCTATAAGCACACTACATAGACACCCATCAGGGGGCACTTCTACTAGTTGTACACCATAAATAAACAAACAGAGCAGTGACGGCACTGCTCAGGAGTGATGAACCCAGCACATGAAAATAAAATATTACACACACGGGAGACTGTAAACCATCACTGTGTCTTAAAATGTTGTGACTATGTGATACAAAGTAAAGTTCTCCTACAGAAGAAGCTGTGGTTTACATGAGATTACCAACACATTGTCTGCTCTACATGCAGGACTTTAAAAGCCTCAGCAGTCTATTGAAAGTAATAAATGCTCTGCAATCACATGCTCCAGAAACCATTCTTCTTCCTGCAGCTTTATTAGAAAATCAGTTCTCAGAATATAAGATATGTATTTTATTTCCTTAATGGTCTGTTTTCTATATGTTTAGGCTTTAGGTGGTACAGACTTCATTACTTTGGGATGAGCCCAACCTTAGATTTCAAAACTATAACGTCAGTGTCCTTCGGCCAATGAGGCTTCAACAAATGATTTTTTGTTGTGTGTCTGCATCTCTTTCATAATACAGATGTACATCCAGACAACAACCCTGACCATCTCTGTAAGCCTCAGTGCTTCGGTCTCTCTGGGAATGCTCTACATGCCCAAGGTCTACGTAGTTCTCTTCCATCCGGAGCAGAATGTACCAAAGCGCAAGCGCAGCCTGAAGGCTGTGGTCACCGCAGCCACCATGTCCAACAAGTTCAACCCCAAAGGAGGCCTGAGGCCAAATGGAGAGGCAAAGTCTGAACTCTGTGAAAGTCTGGAAACACAAGGTTGGTATCATGCCTGAGGTAACAAGAGAGAGTAAAGAAAGAGATGTGTTACAGTTACGCTTGAGCAGTAGCTGATTTTATGCTGACGTATTGAACCGTTACAGTGAAGAATAATAGCAGTAATAGAAAACACATGTCTCGTCTGAAATAATTAACTTCTTTTTATGAGAACATAATTGATGGCAGTGTTACTTTGCACTTCAGCAGTTCGGGAAATTAGTAAGCCTTACGTGGGCATACAATAAATTAGGGTGTCCGCTAAAGTGATGTTGTACAGAGGTTTCTTCTTGAGCATGAGCCAATGCAGATGACATTACTAAACGTTGTGAATAATTACAACCAACTGGAGTGAATTTTAGTAGCTCATAGCTTATAGAGGATTAGGGTTTTGCCCATTTTCAAAGATAGTATCAGGGATAACTAATATTAAATGTTTGTTTGTCCCAGGTTTCCTTAGTAGAAAAAGTCAAAAACACAAAGTATTAGAAAAATAAATAACTTCCCTGTTTCATCAGGATAAAAACTGTAGCCGAGTACATAGAAAAGAAAAACACCTCCATTCTGTCTTGAACTCTCACCACACTGGATCCGTGAATCAGGCGGTGTGACAAGGTGCCCACACTATTCTGATTTTGAAAGGGAGGACTGAGATGTGTTGCTCAGTGTTGGAAATGAGTACATTTCAATCACAAACAAAGTGTATGAGTAGGCAGTTCCCCGCGTGTGGGTGGTCTTAAATCCAATCAAGCAACCCAACATGTTCTGATTGCTGAAAGTCCTGGTTTTGTACCCTGACAGGCTGAACAGTATAAGATGATGTGTATTAGGACTGAAAAGCCTGTGCCCACACTTGCATTTCTGCCTTTTTCCAACCTCAGAATAAGGCGGTTGTATCTTCTCCTTTAATAGAGACGTGCTGCTTCTCCCCTTCTGGTTTGACCTGTGAATAACAACTACTCTTTGTGCTTTATGTGTCAGACTATGGTGAGGGAGGGGACCCTTGTGAGGGACTTTAGACAGGTAACCCGATGAGACAATAACTTTGCCCTTTTATAATCTGTGACCACTTTAATCCTGTTTATCTCTGCTAATGTTCACCACATCATCCATGCCTGCGGAAAATATGCACTAAAGCATCCTGGCTGCTCCTGGCCTGAATACAACCCCCTCAATGACTCAAGGCAGTAATCACACCCTCACATATCCAACCTTGACCAACACACATGAACTTGGACAGCGATTACTGGTTTGTGCTGTAAAGTGGCCCATCAGCATGGTAAAACCTGTTAATGTGCGAAGATGACACCACTCTGCCTGAGTGCAGGAGACAAGCGATATGTGTCCCATGTGTCCCCTATAATTTGTTTCCCTGTTGACAAAGGAAGAAATTTGCGGTAATGGGACAACAACAACAATAAGCGTGAACAGAAAAAGACAGATGGGTCTTCCAGCTCCAATTCTTTCTGGACCATCTATTCTTTATCTTGGCCTTGCAGCACATAAATATTCAAATAAGGTTCATTTATCAATGCTTCTCTTGGATGAGATGCTTTGGATGAAATGTGAGAATGCCACCCCCATTCACACACCCCACATGGCACTGACAAATATACAGAAACGTTTACCATTACACGCAGCACTTTTGCCCCGACTCAGGCTTTCAGCTGGCTTCTGATTGGATTCATCCCCTCTGACATATTCAATCAGCCAAGGCTGCTGTCGGCACATTGGCAGATTGGTAGTTTGATTACCACCACCAAGCATGCTCGCTGAGGACAGTTTTATTGGACAAAAAAATCGACACAGTCGCACACTATGACACTTGCACCGGGACATATGTGTGCATAGAAGCATGTCTGCACACATACACGGGTCCTGAATGTTATTAGTCATATCTGACCAGCGGTTTGGGCTTGTTGCGCTCCCTGTGGTCTGCCCTCAGGTCATCTGTCGTATCTGTTTTACTCACAGCTGATATTAAATTCCCTGAAACATGAAACAAATTTTAAAGAATGATGAGTACTTTTATCAAACATTGATGTCAACACTTGTAATGCCAAGTCAGATCACATACTGCCTTAATTGATTTTAACATCTAGAACACCTAACAATTCAAAGTATGTATGCACTGACTGCTGCATGCGCTGTTTGGTGCACAGAGAGATCTCAGGTCTTTGCATGTGGTAAAAGAAAAACTTGCATTTGAATGCGTACAACTAGATGCCTACCACCATTGTGATCTGCTTGGGGAGTCAAATTCACAATTTAATGACATAATCAGCTGTGAGGAAAATATTCTGACAAGTTTCCCCTAATTTAATGAAAAGTACTGACAGCAAGTACTTCAATTGATGTGAGTATGACTCCCACAGAGAATGAGTCTGATGGCATCTGCATTACTGTCTTGACAAATATATCATGAGGATAATGGTCAAATGTCTGCATAATAAAAAAAAAATGTAGAACATTCTACAGAATGACTCAACTGTAACAATCAATTGCGTTTTTCCCCCATCACTATAACGTTTTAAACATATTTTTTTTAGAACTCAAACAATTAGTTGATCATGTTATTGGACAATTGGCAGAACATTATTCAGACACATCTGATAATTGATAACTGTTTTAGTCATATATACTGGATTTAATTAGTATTAATAGTAAATATTATTTTGTTTAAGCTTCTTTATTTCTTTGTTTTATATCATGGCATACTACATTTCTTTTGTTTGGTCTGATAAAAAAAAAAAAAAAAAAAATCAACGTTTAGGTGTAATTTAGTAAAAAAAAAATACCTTAAATGTGGTGAGTGTGTTTTTGGAGAGGAGTGTCCTGATATAATCTCAAATATCAGTAATTGGGCTTCTAAATTTGATTTCATTTGATCCAATAACCGGCACGATCAATGTCTTTTTGCTCTGATTTGGTTGAGAGTCTAAAAATGACCTTGACAACTTCAAATTTGTCTTTTTTGTTATACATTTAAATTACTCAATGATTGGTTGATTATTTTAAAAAAAACAATAAAAAAAACAGACAAATTAAATATTCAATTCAATTCAATTTAGTGACACACCATACCCTTTTTTTATTATTATTTAAATGTTGCATCAACAGTTTATTTTGAACCACCATGACAATTGTACTGTCTTCAGTTTTGACACATTAGAATTTACATGAAATCCAATTATAAAAAGATATAATTCCTGTTAAAACAGTTGTTAAATTGCATTCTGCTATGATTGGTTTCACCTGTGCTGGTTTGAGGAATTCAGCCATAAATAGACCCCGCCTCCCATTAATCACACATGCTCTGGATGATTACTTTCTAAAGCCTAATTGAGTCTCAGCCATTGCATTTCCTAACCATTGCCTTCTCTCTCCTGTGTCTTTATTTACAGCGTTGGCCTCCAAGCAGACATACATAAGCTACAGTAACCATGCCATCTGAGGAAGAGACGAACAGTGGAATCGGAGCGACGGCCTGCCTGAGGAGAACTCACCTGATTATGGGAATACTAGGGAAATATTTGAGGACTTTGATGCATCTACAGCAGAGAGTACTGGGGTGGAAAGATGGGAATTTGTCATTCCATAAACAGAAAGGGATGTCTTATTTTTCTAGAGAATCAGGAAACGGCTTGAATGCCAAATATGAGGAAATTTGAAGATGGAAGGAGATGGGAGATGCAAGGGCGATTGGACAGTTAAATTTCCTCTTCCCACCCTTTCTAAGGCACATGTGAGCGTTGAGTTGTGACGTTTCCAGATGCAGGCAGAGGGAAACAGCTGGAGACTACAGTATGTTTTCCTTCTGAAGTGTATAGCACACGATTTCAGTTCTCTCTGAGGTGCTTTTTGTCTCATTTCAACAAAAACAAGGCAAAAAGTATTCTGTTTTTGCTCAAGTGAAACTCAGTTGAGTGGATAAAACAGTATGAAAATAAAGTCATTATTTTTGGTTACTGGTATTATTGAGGTTGAAAGCTGCAACTGTTCATGCCTTATTACAGTACATTAAGTATTTCTTCATGAACTAACCATATCGGAAACATCGCAAAAACAAAGCAGTGGGTCATCCCAGATTTCTTTTATAAATGTTTCATAATGATGATGATGACGATGCAATCATCTTGACAAACCAAGTGTACAGTCCCAGAGCATGCTTGTGGGAGCATCACGTGTACTGTGCTGTGTTGTCAACGTCTATGGAATGCAACATTTGTCATAGTTGTCATTCACAGTGGAGATGTCATATTGGACCATTACCCACTGGGTTACCCTCTGCTGAATAAACTGTAATTTCAAACACTAAAGGAGAAAAACTAAAGACAAATCGCCATGGAATACCTTTTATAGTTTACACCACACACTCCATAAATGTCAGCAAGGATGTGAAGACTCATCGATGCATACTTCAAACATCCCAGATTTATTGGCCCTTATTTATCATGTGCTTGTAGAAGCCTTTTCAAGCTCATGCCGTTGGATGGTTGTGAGAAATGCAAGTGTCCATGAAAGCAAATAACTTCCATCTTAGCCGGGAAAAAAAGATACTATTCTTGACACAATAATTAAAAATTGGCAAATGGAGTTCCCTCCATTAAATTACAACATCCACTTTATTGCATACTTAGTTTTCTATAGGTGGTTATCTATGTTTCAGTGGAAAGAATTGAAAAATTGTTTTGTTTGTTTTGTTAAGTTAAAATAGCGTTATATTCTGTCACGCAATGCTTGTTTGTTGAAGGAAGACAACAGCACATCAGTCAGTTGGCAGATGTGCTATTTTTAAAGCTTGATGGTGCAGTGTGACAGATCAAAAGGACAGGTTTCTACTGGGATCTCCTGTGATTTGTGGATAATGTACAAGTATTCTGTGTTCCTCACAAAGAGTGTTTCCCACAGACCTTATTCTCTTTTGGGTCATGAAGTTTTGAAGCTACAGTGGAAATGATTAATGAGAGTTTTAATTGTATTTTCGGGAGAAAATTAGGCTCGCACAGCTACTCAGCATGAAGACCCATTTGGAGAAGGTGCAAGCTCCCTTTCATCACAGCTAAAATGTTCAGAGATAATTAGGTTGATGACATGAAAAGCATTTCCTCTGGAGTGTTTTACCTTTGAATAAGCAACCGTTTTAAGGCTAACGCTATAGCCTGTGAAGATATGTTTATAAATTCTCCTCATTTATTGGAACACTTTTTTAGTGAACGTCAGACATTTTTTTAATTTCATTAGGCCAAAGCGGACTTTGCTCAAATTAACATCAATAATGCAACTGGGTCACTTATATTGTGGATCCCACTGAGAATGAAGAATAAAGGCTGCAGCGATATACAGCTTTAAGCTTTATTTAGGGAATTTGGGGTTTTGGGCCCATACAGATACTGATTGGTTGAGTCTTTAGCCATTTCCGGACAAACAGTGATTGCATTACCTAGTACAAACTTGGGAGGACATTATTTTTCCCTGGATGTAATTTCAGTTGTGAAATAAATTTTCATTAAACAGCAAAGAATGAAGAAAACCTGGGACTAAAAATGAAGACATAGAAAAGGCCAATTCATCTAAAATGATATTTACAGATGGTCAGAAGCATGATTACAATAAATTCAACATGCTGTTTTGTAGATGAGGAATGTGCAAGTAGTCAGTTATTTGTAATATTGTTAATACATGGTACCTCAGGTTTGTACTGTATGTCTATGCTGTTCCGCCACTTGGGTTAAAAAAAAAAAAAAAAGTAACCAATGCTGTTTCTTCCCTCTGAGATACATACATTGATTTTACACAAGTTAAGTTACAGTCTCTCATCTTTAGATCAAGATGGCGGATGTATACTGTGGGTGCTTGATAAATAAGGGCCAGTGCCTTCATTCTGTGCCTCATCGTGTCCATTAAACTACATCTGCCATCCTTCCCATGGATCCTTGGTGTTGTTTTTGTTCCATCCACTGTTCAAACGTGAGGAAACATGGACTCGGTGTACAATTAATATAGGATATGTAAACTCCATTTCTGTCTCCAGTCGCTGACGTATTTTCTCATAAAAAGTAACTCTGGAATTTGTTTCATTAAATGTTATCCTGAGAAATGCAAAAATATGTATGTTGCATGTCAAAATTCATAAATCATGTGAACAATGAGAGGAATTTGTCCAGAAGGAAATCTACTGCAGAGAATTATAAATGACTAATATTCTGCTTGAAATGATTCTCTCAAATCAAAACAAAAGGCTAGGGTGTTGCAGCAAATGTTGTTTTGTCATCATTTGATAAAGTATTGTTTGTGGGATTGTTTGTATTTGTGAATATGACCATTTCCTTTTCTTCTTTTTTTTTTTGACACAGCCCCCCTCCTTTTATTTTTCTAAAACACTTTGTCTGTGTTACAATAGAATATGTAAGTGATGACTGAAATTAAATGGCAAGTTAATGTACGTTATAAAAATGAAAGATCATGTCTGCTTTATGTACTGAATTATTTAAAAAAGAAATACAAAAAAGAATTACAGTGCCTGGATATTTATGAATTCTATAGAGAAAAAATAAAAAATGTGTAGAGCATGTTCATTTTTATACAAGATATTTCTAATTAAAGACTGTTTTGCTAATAACCTGTGGATGTTTTTTCTTTAAAGGAAAGGTTCGTTACTAAGACAAAACAAATTTAAACTTTAGTGGTCCTGAACCCTACGTTGAAGCTCGTTAGTATGTAACTTTAGTTACTTAGCCTTGTGTTATTGTTCGGTTGCAGCACAAAGATGTTAAGTTCAGCTTTACTAGTAGAGTGCAACTTCCTATCTAACCCAAATATTTTTGCAGAAATGTTTGTTACAGTGTTGTCTCTCGTCCGTTAGTGTCTCTGCACAGATAATAACTTTAACTGTTAACTACAGTTAATGCACAAACAGCAACTGAACGTATGTGAAGTTAAAAGGTCGCCTAACAGAGTGTGTTCTGTAAAAACAGGTGGGCATAATAAACCGAAGTTTCGGCCCACACCTTTTCGGTCAGCTCAATCCCTTAATGTCTTCATTTGTCAATTTAATTTTCACATGTAAGGATCATATAATTATGTTATGTTTGTCTTTTTTTTAATTCTGACGAAATAAACTTTATATCATCATATCATATAGTATTACGAAGCATTGTGATTAGGTTCTAACTACGGCATATTCTTCATCTAAAGCTATTGTAAAATAATAATGGTGACATCGAGTGGTGGAACCACCAACTACAACATAAGGTAATTTAATGGCACTGTTATGATTGGGCGGATGAAATGATCTTAAGTATAAACACCTAAATCTTACTGGTGAGTAAACTGTCCAAATTTAGAATTTAGGTTCAAACTAGGCTACATTTTAACTTACACTTAGCTGGTGCAACACATTGCTAGTTATGACCTAGTAACCATTGAAATGATGATTGTCATCATCACCACTTAAGAATAATCTTTGCTTTTAATTGATGTGTAGACGCACAGATATTATTATTTTTGCATAAGAAAAGACATTTAAAGGAGCTGACCGTAACACTAACTTATTGTTATGCAAGAACAGGTTTTCTTTACTTTTAATGATGAATAAAGCTGAAAATACAAGTTGATCATTGGATTAGTAGATAGAGAAACACAGTGATAGGACTCTCCTGTGATAAAATAGGTAAACTTGGACTCAGCGAGACTGTTTCCAATATTTTCTTACATCCTATAGACTTAACAATTGAAATAAACATGATAAGATTAATCAGTGATGCACCATTAGTAAATTACAAATAAAAACTGGATTTTCATGGTAACAAAGAAATGAACTGATTGGCATAATTAATGGCAAATTGAGTTCATGAGAGACTGATGTATAGATGATTTAGAGCCACATTCAGATCTTTTACGACATTGTGTAATGGGAAGGCCCAGAGCGAAGACTTGTGCATCCCATGAAAGAATCAAGGTTTTCCATCTATTTCGTTTCACCGTAGACTCATAAACTTGTGATTTGCCTGAAAAGGAGAAGGTGGAAAAAATAGATTTCACCATCAGTCAAAAAACATAAAATTGAAAGTCACTATAGGAAAGGCCAAGGCCACTATTAAGCTGTGACCTTATATAGAATTTGTACCTATGTCATAACATGGACCGATTATGCAGGAATGTAGATCAGATATAGTGTACAATGCTGTGTATGTATTGTGAGTTTCATGAGTAATCAGGGGAGCCGCAGCCTCAATCTCAGTTTAACGGTGGATCAATATGGTCAGCTACACTTGCAGTAGCCTTGAACAAATTGAGAAAATATCATGCTATCTATAAAAGCTGACAGAATTATGAGCCACTCTAAATGAAAAGCAGAGCCAGTGAAACTATCTTAGTATATAATTTACTGTAGGGGGTAAAATTGGGACCTGGGTGATCACTGATAAGGCACAATCATTAGCCTTGTGTTTGCTAAGTGAATCCCCTGCTCTGCACTATTAGCAACACAGCAGTATATACAAAATCCTTTGGTCTGTTTTTCTCTGTGATATATAGAATACTTCCCTGGGAAGAAATTAACATTCTTCAAGTTCTAATAAAGACTCTCCTCCCTGCTGCTAAGTTCCCCCGACTATTGCAAAGTAATTCAGGGTTATAATGGAAAAACAGGTCTCGAAACTCTGGGCTCTTGTTTATTCTGTTCAAGCTAAAATCTTAATTTTCCAACTCTGTTCTTGGCAAACTCATACGACCACAATAATAATGGAAAAAACGCCCTGGCTTCTTTTATGAGGTAATCAATCAGTTAGTATTGAAATCTACATCAGGTTCAAGCAGTTAACTGTAGATGTTTTGGTTTGAATTAATAGCTGTCAACTGGCTAATACACTTATTAACCTTTTTATTGTTGAGAAGACAACTTTCAACAAGCAAACTGGATATGAATTTTTATATTGTAACAGTGGGTTAATTTCTAATGTGGAAAGAGAGAGAGAGAGAGAGAGAGAGAGAGAGAGAGAGAGAGAGAGAGAGAGAGAGAGAGAGAGCTGATACGCTGCACCTACATTGACATCATCCAGACCTCACTGAGTGCACAGATTTGTAAAATTGTGTGCACATATTTTCCATGCAAAACCGTGGGTATAGATTTGCAAACAGCTTTTTGTCTTTTTTTCTTCTGTGCAACACACAAGAAGTTCCACTGTGACCCTGTCAGCACAACAGGTGAGCCTTGAGGGGCTTGTTATCAAGAAGCAGAAAAAGTAGAATTATGAGTAGAATTATTTTCAATCTTTCAGAGTCTAACATCATTGTGTAAAGAATCTCCACAGAGACATACCAACAACTCTACTGCCATCTTCATATAACACTCCTCCTTCCCTTTATTTCAGAACGAGATTTCTTATTAAGAGTAAATTCTGTTTCTCATTAAATATAAAGGATCTTACGCTTTAACAAGAAAAAGTGTGTGTGTGTGTTTATATATATATATATATATATATATATATATATATATATATATATATAGATATAGAGAGAGAGAGAGAGAGAGAGAGAGAGAGAGAGAGAGAGAGAGAGAGAGAGAGTAAGGCAACACTGGACTAAGTACAAAACTTTCTGCCCCTGTGAGTCATTAAGAGTCGCAGATGTGTCTAATTATGGGCCCATTTCTTAAATGACTGAAATGATCCCTTGGGCCAAGAAAAATCCAAAAGCACCAAGCTGTGCTATAGAGAGCCAACTAATTTTATGACTTTATTTGACTAGGTTATCATACAGATTTGACTTTTTTCCTCAGAACAAATTCTGGCTTGTCAAACACAGGTGTGTTGGGCCACGCAGGCTTAGGACAGTCAAACAATGGACTTGGGCATGCACCTCTGTAAAAGCCTCATTTGAGTATTCACTGAGATCACAAAGAGGCCTAAAAGGACTCTTAATCCCAGAATCCCCTGCGGTACTTCACACCTACGCGTGAAGTAAAGGGGGGACCGGAACCTCTCTCTCCTCATTGGAGGGGACCTGAGGTAGACCCCCCATGGAGCAGGCCAGGCTACAAAACTCCAAGACTTCCATTGTTCTTCCTCTTTCCACGTGCTGACTTCTAGTGCTCGGAGACCCAAGCTCACCTCCTGTTTCCTGCAACAATCTTCCTTTGTTTTAAATTTTGGCGCGCAGGTAATCCGCGGCCGGCAGTGTTCTAAATTCCGAGCTCGGATTGTCCAGTGAACGCATCTCAGTTTCTCGGAGAGCGTCAGACTATAACAGATTATCAGAAAGATAACGGTCTTATTCCGTCCTGCAACGAAAGGACATCAAAGGACATCTTTCCACTCGACGGAGAACCAACGAAGCCGCTCTCACCGTAAGGGACCCTCGTCGCCATCAAACGCCTCTGCACCAGGACGGACAGAAGATCTGCTCCATCGCCGGACTCTTTTCCTTTCACCAATCGCGGACAAAGCGATTCACAAGTGAGGCTTAATTAGGTCTGGGCAGAATTAGCTTTAGAGAGTGTTTTTAACAATTGTTGAACGAAGCAGAAACTATAATTTTTATCTTTGTTGGACCGCTGCGTCCTGAGTTTTAACTGTTTAAAACTCTTGTTGTTGTTTCGGACCGCTGCGTCCTATATGTGTTTAGTGTAACAGCGTTATAACCGGGTATTACTCTTCTGATCAGAAAGGCCAGTGTAAGCCGTATTAACTTGAATCCGGCCATTGGTTTGTTTCTGTGAATGAAGGGAATTACTCCGAGTTGTGGCGCGGGAGTCGGACTGTGATCCGGCCTCTTCAAGCACGCATTTCTCTTTTATTTCCCCTTCTACGAACATACACACACACATATTCCTGTGTAAACGTACATCTGTAGACCAACTCCACCACCGCGCCATTACGCACATAGATCTATACACTCGCGGCTATCCAGACGCCTCAGAGACACAGATCGTGTAGGGCCGAACTCGGTCTCTTTTAGACATTAAGGCCACATTTAGGTCTTTGTTAGGTGTGTGCCATCGGAAGGGCGACCACGTGGGACGAAGTAATCTTCCCCCCCCTTTTCTCTCCCTTTCATCCACACACGCACCCAGGTCTTTGTTAGGTTTGCGCCATCGTGAACGACCACGTGGGTACGAAGCCATCTCCCCCCCCTTTCTACACACACACACACACGCACGCACGCACGTGTTAATAGAACAATTCCTATCTGCAATAAAACCAAAGGGAAATTGAAGGTGTAATGTGGGGAATCATCCAATGAACACCTACATCAAATATTAACGACAAGTATAAATTTTCATTGAGTTAGTCTCTGTTGCTTAATTCCTTAATTGCTTGATAATGTTTGTTGCTTAGATTAGTTTATAATAGTTATTTGTTTGTTTGATTAAGTTCATTGATTTTGGATTGATGTTGCTTTGTTTAAATAAATTCTGTTATAATTTAAGAGAGCAGTTGTTTGTGATTACTGGTGTATTTGCATTGTGGTTTAAGTGCGAAGGCTTTGTGTACGGATTTCACGCCTTCAATGTTTTAAATATAGTTATTCATTATTAACAATATTAGTAATTAAATAACTAATTTGAGACTGATTTGAGTGATTTTTGGTTATATTTA